TAAACAGTAATTATATTTGTTTATTGTGACATTGAAGATTAACATAATTTGTTCTTCTTACTGTTGTCATTATTAGAGAGAGGCATGAAAGAATAGTTTTACATTTCCTATCCATTCTATATTTCTCAAACTCTCAAAATGTTTTTATCAAATTATGTTTAGGCTCTTTAGAAATTGTTTAACACATCAGACAAAGGGTCTAGGGTATGATGCTGTAAAAACACACACAACCTTACAATAACACACAACAACATGCAATATGTTTATAAGAGTATACATGAGCATCATCACTATGTTGAACACAGCAATACATTCATATTTCAGTGCTTGGACTTGTGTTCAAATATAGAGATGGACAATATCACATTTTCAATACACAATTTTATGGGCAAAAAGGATTCACAATAACAATATAATCGCAACATCTATTTAGATTGATTAAAATAATGCAATCAGTCATATCCATCTCTAACTTTGTTTATTGTGCATTTCGTCTTAAAACCTAACAACTAGACTATTTAAGCAATTTCATCATTTGTGTATTTTCAACATGATTAAAATGATCATGATTTTTTTTTTAAACATGGTTGTCGCCAATACTCATATCTCGCGACATTACCTACTATAGCATGAGGGTAATTTCTTAATCTGCAGCAGGAAGTGTGTACATTGGAAGCTATATATATATACATGCCGTCACAAAGTAGTGTCAGTAAATCCGGTCTTCTGTCCATGCCAGCTTTTTGACCCCTACAACACACACAAACACACACACCCTCGCTGTTGCTCTCTGTCCCTCCCTATATCTCCCTCCACTGATGGCCTGTTAAATATAATTTAATTAGCCACTGGGCCAGCAACACAGCCCAGAGACACAAGTCATACATCAACTGTGTGTGTTTGTGTGTTGCAAGTGAGTCTTTGTATGTGTGCCAACCTATGGTGCCAACTGAGAGTGTTTGTAGTTGTGTTGAAGGAGGAGGAAAACAAAGCAGCAGCATGTTAGTAGTCAGGCCTATCTGTGTGACCTGTGCTGCTTTTTAACAAGAGAGAGACACATGAAGGGACTTAAGGGAAGATGGCGAGGATGGATGGAGGGATCAATACGTGTAAGGACGGCTGAATGGATGGCGGGATGGACGGGTGGATATATGGGCAGAGAAGAAGGCAAAGGATGAAAGGATCGAAATAATGAGAGGGATAAAATAGAGAGGAAAGATAAGGGGATGATTGTATTGAGAGGGATTTAAAAAAAGAAAGAGTAGGAGGGAAGTGAAGGATGGTGGAGAGTGGAGGAATGGATGAAGGTAATGGAGAAAAGGAGGGGGCAAATTAGGATGGGGGTGTGAGAGGAAGAGCTGATGGATGTATGGAGTAGATGGATGACAAACTAGCACTCTTCACTTTAGGGTTAGATTGGAATAGATCCACTTGGCCAAATCCCAGGCCACTTGTCATTAAACGCTACCAATTAGGTTGTGTGTGTGTGTGTGTGTGTGTGTGTGTGTGTGTGTGTGTGTGTGTGTGTGTGTGTGTGTGTGTGTGTGTGTGTGTGTGTGTGTGTGTGTGTGTGTGTGTGTACTAGTCTGTCCACCATGCTTGAATTGTGCCATAGGTTAGACCAGTCAAGAGAGAGTACATAATAAGAGGTTAATATTACATACACATTAGAATACACATTACTAAATTGTTGTGGTTGATGGATTTGAAAGGTCTATTCTTAAAACAATCACAAAATAATGTAATACATGTTTTGTTTAGAAAGCTAGTCAAAATCTCCCGCAGCTGAGTAATGGTGCATGAATCCATTAAAGCCACTTGTTCCATCTGTACATAATAACTATGTAACTCAAGCACATCTTTCTAAAACAAGAATCTCTTGTGATTTTTTATGGAGAAAAGGAAAGCCACAGTTATGATTGATACCATAATTATTTTTAGGATGGATTTTTCTTAAATTTGAAATCTAATGCACATGTATGCTTCATGGGAGGTTTTTCAGTCATACAATGAGAAACCCCTTAATTGCTTCTGCTCACATTCGCTGCAATATGTATAGAAGCGTGGCTTTCACACAATGAGAAACCAATTAGTGGTCTCATTGTGGGGCTTTGTTTCATACAGTATGCACACACACACATCCGCACAGTCACAAACACACTCCTGCACATACAAATTCACACACAATTCTCCAGGGAGAGCTAGTCAAATGGTGAAACGCTTCGTCGTTCTCCGGGTCACTGGATCCACATCTCTCCCCCCTCTCTTCTATCTCTCTCCCCCTCTCCCTCTCATTTCTGTAACCTGCTGCAGTTAATTGAAAGCCAATGGTGTGAGAATATGGCTCTTTGACTGAGAGCGTGTCAGGCCGCAAGGTCTCCTCTCTCTCTCTTTGGCTCTCTTATAATCATAGAAATATATGAGAGAATAGATTAAAGCAGAGATCCCTACCAGAGACGTTTTGGAGCTCTTTTATTTCATAGTATCGTTAACTGCTGCTCTGTGAATCTCAGTTTGTCAGTAAATCTGCTTGTTTTAATTGCAGCTTCATAAATTCAAAAAGGAAAAACACGAACATTTTTAACTGATGACAATAAATCACGTACTGTGAATTACCGTCTGCAGATTTACTATCCTTGGGTTCTCCCGGGATCCCTCTCACTTAACCTTTCCTCGTCTTTGTGCACCGCCATGTCCAGGGAGTTATTGATGCTTCGAACAAAAACTAAATAAAGTATAATTAACGGTACATCTATACACCTTATTATCTATATATTATATACTACTCATCCTCTACTAGACCTCTGTGCACTAGCTCGGTTGTGTATTTATTTTGACAAAGATTAATGGTAATTGTAAGGGAAACTTCTGTGTAGCAGCAATGCAGTGGGAGTCACCGACTCAGGAAAGAGACACGGGAAGAGCAGGAGCTTTGATGTCAAACACTGATGGGTTATTTGGAGCTTCGGCCGGAGAATTCACATCACAAGTCACAGCAGCCACGATCTGACTTCACGGTAGAGTTGCCACGTCAATTCTGAAGAACTCTACCCCAGACCCATGTATTTAGCTAGTTCCGAGAGCATCATCAACATGCTGCATAACAAGATAAAATCATAACACCTCTATCAGCTGACGCCAACAGGCAGGAACATAGAACCATAACACCTCTATCAGCTGACGCCAACAGGCAGGAACAGGGAGACAGAACACTGAGAGCACAGCAGCCAAGGTTACGAGGTGCGTGTGCTCAGTCAGGACAGTTTGAACTGATAAACTGGGTCAAAGTTATGGGCCTTGGAAAATATTCCCCAACAGTAATCAATGCTAACATAATTAATCACATGATAAGCAAACTTCATTTTTGACAAAAACTGATAGTGAGAAAACTGTAGAGCACATTTACAAAATGTACACAAAGTATCATAGTTTGAAGGGATGTATCAACGTAGTAGCATTTTTCTTCTTACTTTATTTACATTTTGCTAGATTAGTCCAGTCGTTCTATAGATGAGACAATAATGTGAGATCTAAACTTTTTCTTTTTGTTTACATGTTGGAGAATTGTCTCTTTTATAACTAAAATGTGACAAGTATACAGTGCTGCTTTGCAACAGGTCAATCACATCAAACATTGGGAACCACCTGTTTGATCTAAAACAATGAATTGTATTTAATGAAGGTAAGAAACATAACATCTTTAATAACTCAAAAGTAACTATGAAGGTCAGATAAAACATGTAATATTTCACTCTGGCTTGTACTGAAATAGAAGTATGATCTTAAAATTCAAAAATTCCATTAAAGTACAAGTACCAGAAACATGTCTTTAAAGGTGGGGTAGGTAATTATGGAGAAACCAGCATGAGTGCAGCTAGAATTTGAAAATACACAGCTGGAACAAATCTGCCACTTCCTTACAGAGCCCCTCCTCCAACACACACGAACGCGCACATGACCAATGAGGGCACGAGATAAGTTTGTGCACAGGTGGAAGGCTGACAGGCAGGTAGGCCATCCAGTTATTTTAGCCGGGCCGGTTCAGATGATTGGTCGTGCTTTTTACAGCGCCACGGCTTCCACAGATGACATTTTGTTATGGATTTTTTGTCAAAGCACTTAAGATATTCATTGCTATCGGGATGTTAAGAGCATTCCATGGAATATAACAAAAAGTGTATCTCGAGCCGGTTTCTCAAACTTACCTACCCCACCTTTAAGTACAGGACGTAAGTGAATGTAGCCTACTTGTTCCACCACTGGTGCTTGGTAATACCAATCTCCTCTCTCAACTCATTTCATGTAGGTTGAATCATAAATTCAGTCTGTTATATGGAGATGTGGTGTTTCTGCTGCAAAACAAAGAAAAGGTTATAAAAGGGAGGAGAACAAGTAAGAGACTAAAGACGCGTTGTGCAGCGAGAGGCAGACAGGAAGAACCTGCCGTGTTGAAGTAAGAAATGAAAGCGCGAGGAGAACGGGAAGAGAAAGAAGTGAGATTGAGAAGTTTGGAAGTTCAAGTTAAAAGAAGTGAGCGAATGAGGAGAATCTGAATGCAGAAGAGATGGAGAGTATATATAAATATAATTTCTGGTGAATCCTTTTGAGCTGAATGCTGCGGGGAATTGAGCGGGAAGAAAGCAAATGAACCACTCCCCTTCCAGATGTTGCTACATGTGTAAACAGCAGCGTATGTGTGTGACTGAGTGTGTGTGTGTGTGTGTGTGTGTGTGTGTGTGTGTGTGTGTGTGTGTGTGTGTGTGTGTGTGGAAGGGTGTGTTCTAGAGCTCCATCTGCAATTACCATATTTGCCATGGTTTTTATTTTGCAGACTTTAAGGACGTCATTATAGCCACATCTGTATACAGTATTTCCTCATTTATAATTGTGTGTGTTAACAATATATTTTTTACAGTGATAGAGTGTAAAGTTTTCACGATGAATTTAACTGATGGCCTGACTTATCTCCTTTCCTCTTTCTCTCTGCTTCCCTCTCTCAGAGCTGCACAAAAGTTGAACTTAGCTTCCAAGAAGAAGAAGCAGAAGACCACCGCAGTTACAGCCCCAGTGACATCATCAACGCCGTCATGTGACCCCCCTCTGTTCCCCACCAACTTTAGCTCCGCCCTGTTGATGGCCCCCCCGCCGGCTCCACCCTGCCTTCTGCGTGCAGCCAACAAGATCAAAGATACCCCTGGACTGGGAAAGGTAAAGAAAAATGACTTAAAGGTCACCTATTGTGCAAAATGCACTTTTTCATGTCTTGTATACATCAACATGTGTCCCCTCTGTGTAAAGAGATTCTGAAAGTTTCAGGAAAAAAGATGATCTCACTTTTTGTCCTGATCCATTTATATAAAAACCTGTCTGAAAATGAGCTGATCAGATTTTGGCCACTTTATGATGTCATAACGATGTTTTGGCTTGTGTAACCATTAAGCCAATCACCAACCGAGGTAACCCCCCCCCCCCCCCACCTTATCACCTGAATCTCCTCCTAGAGCACCATTGTGTTCTTTTTAACCAGATATCTCTCAGAGGGGTGTGGGGAGGGGCTCCTTATTTTCATCTAAAGTAACAGACAGAGAATCAGCACTTTTGAAACAGGGCTGAAACAGAGGGGATTATGGGTGATGCTGCAATGGTCTGTTTGGTGTTTGGAGCCAAACACTTCAGAGACATGTTTTGTATATATCTGAGACCTAAAATATCTTGATGAAAAACAGTATAATAGGAGACCTTTAAAGTCTTCTTTAAATTATTATGTGACAGTTTCTTTTTAATCCATGCAGATAAGCAAACGACTGTCCAAATACACCTGTGTCCATTTTTCACAAGATAATGTATGTTCTGTGTTTGTTCATTCTGGAGAGTGACATTTAATTAGCTTAATCTCTATCCGTGGAAGTTGGGTTGATTTAGTCCTTATGAGAAGTTGACAGGAAGTTGTGTGTTAAATGTTTTGTGACGATCTGTTGCTTTTAGTTTTGGATGGCTATAGTAGCCACTTTTAATGTGTGATTGATGCCGTGTCCTTGTGATGAATGTGGTTTTATTGCTTGATTTTAATTAGACTTTTTATCTTATCTTTTTTACCTCTGTAAAGCGTCTTTGAGCACCTGATAAAGCACTTGATAAATCAAATGTATTATTATTATTATTATATATACATTTTGATTATTATTTTTATTTAGAATAAGTATAAAAAGCTCAGCTTTCAGTTACAGCATTTTGTTGAGATTTGGTTTTTATGCACTGGAATTTGCAAAAATATTGATCTGTAGAACTTTATCATGACCTTGGGCCGGTTTATCTAAATGTATACTGGTGTGTGTGTGATCGTGTGTGATCGTTTGTGTGTGTCCACCCTGCTGCACCATACAGGAATGCAGCCTAATGGTTACCATGGTAACACATCTCAGGCTGACAAAAGTCATCTGTCACTGTTGCCTATGGTTGATGAAACGTGTGTGTGTGTGTGTGTGTGTGTGTGTGTGTGTGTGTGTGTGTGTGTGTGTTCGGGATGTGGGGGGGTTTCATGCTTCTCAAGTGTGTGCAATATTGATCGTCCATGTAATGAGTTTTTAGTGCCCCCTCCTCCACAGTTTGAGTGAGAGGCTCGCTGATTTTGTGTGCGTGTGTGTGTGTCCTCACTGGCACTGCTAGAAAAAGAATGACTGTGGAGGACAAAATCAAACAGACATCAAACAGCCAAGTCCATTACTGTAGGAGAGGGGTCCGAGGCATACAGTAGTTTAGTAGTTTTGAGGATGAAACTGTGAGAGTGTTTGTCTAACTGTCTGTATGTATTTGCATGAATGTGTGATGATGTTGGACGGGCAATAGTGAAGACAGACAGAATCAAGGTGAGAGAGAGAGGGGCTGGACATGCAACAAAAGCTTGAAGCATCCCAGGGGAGCTGCTGTTCTGTTACTGTGCTCTCAATCATCGGTTACCAACCTTTTAATAAAGACGTTACCCCCCCGCCCTGTCACATGAAGTACCCCGACTTTAACACCAGTGTCAGGTTCAAAATGTGTTCATTTCAATTGAACAATAACTAGATATTTTTCACAATATTTCCGACTATTGTTACAATATTTTAAGCTAGATGTTTAGATATTTCAACAAATGAATACATGGCTAACTTTTTATTTGTATGTTCATTATTTCTTAGCTTAATTTTTAGACTTTTTTGCTACTTACTACTTTTCACAAATTGCAGCTGACTGAATATGGATATTGTTAAATTGTTAAATTGATTATATGTATTTCTCTAATTGAAATGTTAATCTTATTTTAATAGTATCTTATCTAGTTACTACTGTAGTTACTTTCAAGTTTCTGTAAAAAAATTAATATATAATCAGCAAATTAATTATGATATCAATATATCAAAGATACTTTATTGATACCCAGGAGAAATTCACAAGCTACAGAACCGTAAATTAACCACAAATGTAAAAGTTGCAATTGACTAACTTTTGAAGTAAATTCCACACAGTCACAATGTCAGGGTTTAAGTTCTGACTCTTTTCTACTTGTTTCCTGTGATTGATGTGACTGTCCCCTGCCTCCCTTTACATTAATGTCATCCTCCACACTCCACCATTAAGAAGAGCTTTGATTTGAAAAAGAAAAAACTAACCCAGGTTCTTAAAACATATTTTTACATCACAAATATTAATCAAAAAGCTGTTGGATGCAGAGATAAAGCAAACAAAAATGCGTATATGTGACTTGTGCCATATGTAGAAAGGCTTTTACATGAGGAACAGTTTATATATCTAGTCTAGAAGTCTCTCGATAATATTAGGCTATGGTTTTTCATATTTTATTTGTCTTTTTGTCGTCTGATTCTTTTGTGGTTTTATTTTGCTTCGCTCCTCCGTTGGGTCTTTATCTCTTTTTCTCTCCATATGGAGGTGACAGATGTCCCCTCAGTTGTCAGGGAGACAGATTCACACCCACATATTTACAAGCACACTCACACACACTCACACAGCAGCCAAAATATACTGACATTATTATACACCCCTACAGAGAAATCCCTTACAAGTATACTATATAAACCACACACACACACACACACACACACACACACACACACACACACACACACACACACACACACACACACACACACACACACACACACACACACACACACACACACACACACACACACACACACACACACACACACACACACACACACACACACACACACACACACACACACACACACACACACACACACACACGCCAGTCTTCCCACAGTCTGTCTGTCTCTCAGTCTGGCTTCTGTTTCATCCCACTATGATCTCGTGTGATCTTGGGATGGCAGTGATTCGCTTGTCTGGCCCACGGTGCTGTGTACAAAGGCCTGCTGCTACCTCTGTTTAATTACAACTGTCAGACATCCCTCTTTGCACAGTCATGTGGAAATCTCACAGTTAGAATTGTAGTATGATCTTTGATATGATGGATCTCTGATTAAGGTGTCCAGTCGCTCTACTGACTCTGTCTTTCTGCGGCCCTGCCTGCAGCCTGCCATCATACATTAACTGTGAAATGGAGAAGAAAAACAATGTCTGAAAAAAAGTTAGAATGTCTTCAGGTCATTGTTAAAGAAGGAGCTTCATCTTTTAAGGATGAAAGGATGGATACTTAGCTGTTCATTAAATATGAAGCTACAGCAAAAAAGACTGTTAGGATATTTTTACATAGAGAAAAGGAAGGAAACAGTAAGTCTGGCTCATGGCCAAGAACTAGCCTGGCACTCAACCCCCTGCAAACAACAATTTGTTTTTACACTTCAGTTTTTGTACAGATTAAGCAAACAAGATTTAACATTTAAACTGTGTGAATATTGGGATTGTGCTATCTTTGGACAGAGCAAGGCATTTCAATCTTTATGCAAATATAAGCTAAATTAACAATCTTTAAACTTTTCAATTTTGATTGCTATTTTATTTATTTCCCTGTTTGACCAGTGTTGGTTAGGGTTAGGGTTGGTGTTGGTTAGGGTTAGGGTTGGTGTTGGTTAGGGTTGGTGTTGGTTAGGGTTAGGGTTGGTGTTGGTTAGGGTTAGGGTTGGTGTTGGTGTTGGTTAGGGTTGGTGTTGGTTAGGGTTGGTGTTGGTTAGGGTTAGTGTTAGGGTTGGTGTTGGTTAGGGTTGGTGTTGGTTAGGGTTAGGGTTGGTTAGGGTTGGGGTTGGTGTTGGTTGGGGTTAGGGTTGGTGTTGGTTGGTGTGGTTTGATAAGAAACAGGCGATAAAAGGAGGACAGCACATGGTACCAAGGCAGGAAAATATTCTGGTATTTGGAACATTACAAGCCTGTAATGTAAAATCAATTGAAGCATGCCTAATCAAACCCACTCTCTCTCTCTCACACACACATATGGGAAGGAAAATGGTTTTGGTGACATTTCTCCAGTACAAATGTCACCTGCAGTGGGGGTCGGCCCCCTGCTGGAAATGGCATTTACACACACACACACACACACACACACACACACACACACACACACACACACACACACACACACACACACACACACACACACACACACACACACACACACACACACACACACACACACACACACACACACACACACACACACACACACACACACACACACACACACACACACACACACACACACACTCATGCACACAGGCTTGCATGCTCACACATTTATAGGATTATAGTGTACAATGAAGGATGTCAAGGAAGCTGCAAAGCCCCTGGTAGAAGTGTGTACGAGACATCCCTCTGAATATGGGCATGTCCGCGGGTGTGATGGGGGGTTAGTGTTCTCCCCCATGTTAATATGGCAGAAAACAGATTGAGACATCACATTTCAAGCCATGGGAAATCAACCTGCACAGGTCAGATGCTGTGTGTGTATGTTAGAGAGAGAGAAAGAGAGAGAGAGGGGGAGAGGGATGTCGAATCAAATCGGTTCCCTCAGTGGACCTCTTTGACTGGCGTCTGTATCTCAAACTACCCTCTGTTATTTCTATACGCCGTGTTTCTCTACATGTGTTGTTGGTAAGCTCCGTTTCACTTTAATCAAATCAGCCAGCTGGGAGCCCTCCATTCAGACCCCTGACTGCTGGGGAGATTCCTATCAGTCGAGGAAATTAGGCTGTATACTGTATTATCACTTAGAAAACCAGTGGCAGAGTTGCACATAA